ACGGGGCAGGCTCCCTGTGCATGCTGCTTCTGCACAGGAGTTTTTAATGTGAAAAAGCCGTAATTACCTTTAATGTACAATAGTAGCCTAATAATTTTTATGCATAACTGTTTTTATAGCAACTTGTCAAAGATCAAGAGGCAGTGACACAGGAAGTGAAAGGAGAGATAGATGCCAGTCAAAGAAGGGCTGATCTTGAAGAACACCTAGTTCAGAGGTTAATAGAAATTGATCGGGATGAGGACCGCAAAGCTCAGGTGGTAAGAAAATGAATGTAACTTGTGTGAAGGAAGAGGCATTCCTTCCAACTATACAAGCATGAAACCCTTTGAAAAAGAATCTTAATTTTTTCCAGACAACTATACTTACCACACTTCGACCTTATACACAGAATCCCACTTTAAGTACTGTTCAGGCAGCAGGAGTATATTGAGGTCTTGCTAGGCATAGCTTGAATGAAAGCCTTTCTTTGTCTTCCTAAAGATTACAAGAAATAGCATGATCCTTCTGATACATGCTACTGCTTTCCAGTTGATTTTTCTGTCAGTAATGTTGGATCTCATGGCCACAAACATCGAGCTTTTGGTTCTTTGCAGTCGCAAATGATACCATCCAAAGAATTGGTGGAGATCAGCAGACAATTTAACTATAGAGAATACTCAATAGATGCATCCAGCTTGTCATTAGGAGCTTGGCTTCCCAAGCTCAGCACAATTGGAACATTGTTGAAGCTTAACCTATTGTCCCAGTGCTTAACAACCGTCTCCAGAGTTTGTCCAGAAATAATCATATAAGTCTGGGTTTTTTTAATGTGCCTTCAGTTTTGTGGCTGCAGTTGACTTTGAGTAAAAATGCTTGTATTAAAGCATCTGACTTAATTGTACTTGCTAAATATCTAAATATTAGTAAAATGGCACCCATAAAATATTAGCGGTTCAATTGAGGCTTCCTTAAAATGTGCCCGTGTGTATATGAGAATATAACAGAGGTAAGAGATAAGCAAAGGGAGAGACTCGTAAAGAAACAATGTGCTGTAGTATATAAAGAGGGCCTCTACTACATTGATAATCCTCTGGAACCTATTGCTGATAAAGACCGTTAACAATGGTAGTGGAATAAATTTTAAATTTGAATGGAGAAGGTTATTTATCCATAATAGGATAATGTGCTAAAGTTCAATTAAGTGCATTTGGCTTTTCACTTTTATTTAGCTGGCTGAAGAAAGTTTAGCAAAAGCTGATCAGAAGTGCATTGACACAGACTGGAGAATTCAAGCCTTGTATAAACAAAGATGTGATGATCTAGACCGTGAAGCACATTATGAAGAGATAGCTAAACTTCTTCATGACAACAGAGAAAAAGAAGCTGAGTTACTGAAAGCAATGAAGGCAGAGGAGGATAAAAGGGTAAGCATGCCTTTGCATTTTTGAGGAGACAACATGCAGAGAGATGCAAGGAATGGGAGGTAAGCAGTACGGTGGGAGCCAGCTCCCAATGCATACTGGCTCCCACATGCTTCCCCCTTCCTCTCCTTCTTCCCTCTCCCCCTGCCCCCTGCCTCTCCCGTGCTGTGTATAACCATGAGGGTTAACTGAGCCCAGGCCTATCTCTTATCTCAATGTAGCTGCTTCAGGAAGATCTTGGTTGGGCATCAGCAAAAGCTTTTCTCAAAAGAGGAAACCATTAACTAAGTGTCTTATGGCAAATTTCTGTGTTTAAATTAATGACTGTATGTAATTTTAAATCATTCCAATGGCTTTCTCTGAGGCTTGCTTTTTGCACCTTGCACTTTTATTGAAAATGTCTATTATACAGTGGGAAGAACTTACAGAGAAAAGAGCTCACCTGGAATCAGAGCAGCTAGCCGCTACTGCTTTAGATGCCCAGCGGAAGCAGTTCTTAGAAGATGAAATGAACGATGCAATAGAATTGTCTGAAAAGCTACAACGTGAAGATGGCTATTTTGGTGAGCATGCAATATAGTACTTCCATCTACAGTGTACATGGCATGGATAATACACTAACTTGTCTATGTTAATATTTTAGCCAGTACCGTAAAAATGTAGAACTGGAAGAGGCTTCAATAGGTCATCTAGTTCAATCCCCTATATTGAGACAGGGCTAAGTATTATCCAAATTCTAGCCCGTACATGACAGGGATTCAATACAATCAAATTAGGAACGACTAAGGATCTAAACTGGTTAACTCACTACAGTTTGGACCTCCCTGGTCTAGCTCCCTCTGGACCTGAGTGGTCCTGAAGGGGGGATTTTTGCCAGATCAGGGAAGGTCATTTCTGCCCCCCCGCATCTGGCCCTCCAGCCCAGCGCAGCCCCTGGCCTGGCCTCCCTGCTGGCTCCCCACATGGGAGCACCCCTGCTACCCTGCCACCACAGCCCATGGTCCTGCCGCTGGAGCTCTCAGCTTTACTGTGGTCCCACCACCTGGATTTCCCTCCCCCACAGCAGGCTGTGGCCAATTCACTGAGGTTCACGACCCTACCAGGGCAGCACCTCCCTGCTGCTGGGGCTTCTGGCTCTGCCAGCCCTGCTGCAGCAGCCCCGCGGTCCCCCCGCCAGGGCTCCTGGCCCCACCAAAGCAGACCGCTGCCCTGCCAGAGCCCACTTGCGTTCCAGCCGCCCTCCCACTGGCTCAGCTGGACTCCTGCGGCAGGGCTTCCAGCCGCTGGTCTCCAGGTGGCCAGCCTGACTGGATTCCCAGCCCCCTCAGGGTTCCTGCCTCTGGCCCTCCATCGGGTCTCTTTGGTCCAGCAACATCCGTGGTTCTACTCGACCACGGATGTTGCTGGACCAGGGAGTCCTGGTTGAGAGAGATTCAACCAGTACTAAGGTAATGTACCTTCTCTTGATATTCACATCTCCACATCAGCTGCTGTGAATAAGCCACATCCATCCTGACTTGATTAGCCTCATTAACACTAGTTCTACACTTGACAAGTAACTTCTTTTTTTTGTTATTCACATATACCCCTGCCTCTGTAATTTCCACTCCAGTTCATCTGATGAAGTGGGCTTTACCCACAAAAGATTATGCCCTAATAAATCTGTTAGTGTATGTGTACACTACAGGACAAAATCGAATTAAGATACGCAACTTCAGCTATGTTAATTGCATAGCTGAAGTTGAAGTACCTTAGTTAGGCTTTTGATGCTTTCTATACTGCAGGAAGTCAAAGGGAGAACACTTTCCCTTCGACTTCGCTTACTCCTTGTGAAAGCCAGACTACTGGCATCAATCTGAGTTTGAATTAGCTGTCGTAACTAGACCCGCTAATTCGAACCCTGGAAGATCAACAGTGACTGCTCCCATTGTTCTCTGTAGCATGCCATGCTTTCTAGTACAGGTTGAACCTCTGTTAACCGGGACTCCTTGGTTCGGCAGGACCATAGTTGTTCCAGGACCAGAGAGTCCCTGTGGAAGACTGGCGGCTGGGCTTTCCCCGCAGCTGGGTTGCCTGGTGCGCCACAGCTGAGCAGTTAGGTACAACCCAGCAGGGCTGCCTGGTGGGGCCAGGAGCCCGGCATAACACCGCAGGGCCAGGAGCCCAGTGTACAGGGAGCTGAGATGCCTGGCTTAGCAGGGAAAGGAGGGGACTAGCAGGGCAGTGGGGCTGGCAAGGCTGGAGAGGGGGCAGCAAGGAGGTTGGGTAGAGGGGTTGGTAGCAGGGGCCCAGAAATGACCTCTCCTGGTCTGGCAAAATCCCTCATCCGGGCCCGGTCAGGTCCCAAAAGTGCCAGACCAGGGAGGTCCAACCTGTAGTATGCTATGTTCCACTCCAAGATTCTCGCTGCACTGTTCCAGGGTTCACAAGGGATCTTACTGTGTGGCAAGCTGTAGAGTCATACCCTGCCTTGCCAAGCAGTAACTTGCAGTGTAAATAAGTCCTAAGTAGATGTTTTCTTTTTGCTTCCTGAAAGATGTTTCACCTCAAGTTTTGAAAGCGTGGCTTTTAATAAACACTAGGGCTGTGTCCAGACTCAGGGTTTTTTTCGGGAAAAGTAGCCTTTTCCCGAAAAAACTTCCCCTGCGTCCCGACTCAAGCCGCGTTCTTTCGAAATTATTTCGAAAGAACGCGGCTTTTCTTTCGATGGCGGTAAACCTCGTTTCACAAGGAAGAACGCCTTCTTTCGAAAGTTCCTCTTTCGAAAGAAGGCGTTCTTCAATGTAAATAGGGCTTCTTCAAAAGAGAGCATCCAGACTCGCTGGGTGCTCTTTCGAAAAAGCGGATTGCTCTTTCGAAAGATCCGCCTGCAGTCTAGACGCGATCTTTCGAAAGAGGCTCTTTTGAAAGATGCTTTCGAAAGAGCCTCTTTCGAAAGAAGCCTGCAGTCTAGACATAGCCTAGCAGTTGACAAAGAAACCCTCTCTTCATTTCCCGCAGAAAGATTGCGTGATTTAAAGACCGGGTGTGTACAGCAAGATTTAAAATTCCAGCAGGTGCGTGAGGAAGCTCAACCCAAGTCAGGATATGTCTGTCTAAATGACTTCTCTACAACAGAGTCCTCAGCAAACTGTAAGTTGCTAAACTTTGGAACAGATTTTCCTCTCGTAATTTTGGAAGCATTACCTGAGAGCACCAAGGTGGGTGAATTAGTCTTCAGTAAATATGCAGATTTATTTTTAATTGGTTTCACACATGAAAAATCCTTTAAAAAATGGTGATTGTGAAGGCAACTTGTCTCTGATTATGTTGTTAGACCTAACTATATCTCCATCTCATATTTCTATGGGATTGGCAGCAGTATCTATGGCTTAAGCACCTTTACATAGTTTTCTGTGACTTTGAGGAGTGGAGAAAATAAAGAATTATTTGTCATTCAAATCATTTTAGAGATCATTTGTTGCAGCCAATAACTGGTCTCTAATTTATTCTGGGCTGCCTCTGCTTCTACAGCTAGTGAAAACATTTAACAATAGCTATTCTTTAATTGAACAGCTTATTGGAGAAGTCTCCTGACACTACAGGAAACCTTAATACCTTTGAAACTTTGATAGAGCTTTTCCATTTGCCACAAGCTGTTGTATGGTTTGATTTATTTTAGATCCAAGAGAAACCAGGACACTCCAGGGAGACTTAACCACTTTCTTATTTATTGCCAGCTTTAAGTGGTTAATATAGTTGTTTGTTTTTTTAAGGCTTGTAAAATGTAATTACTATACAATTTAAACCTTAAAGACTATAAATTCTAAAGCAATTAATACAGCGAAAAGCAATGCAAAAGCAATTAATAGAAGATTATTATAATACAATAATTAAGCCTAGTTCACTTACAATTCACCCATATGCTACCTACAGTACCAGGCAGGAAGTCGTGGTCCCTTTGATTCCCACCCATTGGGACACTATGCACTGGGGTCGCCAGTGTGAAGGGTCTAGTTACTTCTAGTTACAACTAGCAAGACCTGTGGGTCAATCCTGCTTACTCACTCCTATTGATTCTTCTTACTAAGCCCATTTTATAGCAATGCAACACTTGGTTGTTCTAATATTTACCAATTGATTACATATTATGTAAGATACCTAAAATGCCCAATGTCTCTATTTGGGGTACATCCTGCTACTCAGGATGTTGTAAAAAATACGTGCATAATTAACAGTTTTATGGTTGCATTTATAACTTTTGCTTATCAGAAACAAGTACCACTACAAGGTTGCTTGTCATGTGTTCTTGTCGTGATCTCACTGTACCGCTTAATCTGCATTACTATGCAAAACATTTCCACCTCTCAAGGCTTCCCCGACTTTGCCTGCATGCTTATGTGCACCAGACTTAAGAGAGGCCTAGTTTTTGCTTGTTAGAGATCCTCACTGTGGTCAAGGCAGACATCACCATTCATTGTCAAGGCAGTACCATCCAGGCTCCCCTACAAAAGTACACTACGGTAATGATACATTTTGCAAAGAATGTTTAAAAAAAAAAACTAAGAAATAGGAGTTCCTCTCCACTTGCAGTATTTGGATCTCTCTCCTGAGTAATCAAGGGACTAATGAAGAATTGAATGTGAGATGATTATCTTGTTCTATATTAAAGACACAGCCCTGCAGTATTATTCTACAACAAGAAATAACTTTGTACCAATTTAGTCATAAAAAGCTGAATCCCATTCAGGAGGTCATACTAGATGATCACAATGGTCCCTTCTGACATTAAAGTCTATGAGTTTTCAGTCCTTTTAACGGTTTGCAATAGTTGTAATATTAATTCTGAGCGTCTTTCATTTCTAGTTTCTTTAGATAGAAGACGAGAAGACCTGGAATGCAGAGAACGGGAATTAATGGCAGAAGTCAGAGAGCTCAGGCAAAAGCTTACTTCACAGGCCCGAGCTACCTATCCCTTACCTCATTTTCCAGACACAAAGTGGGCCACTTAAGAAAACACACTTTATACTTTAGCTGTATCATATTAATCACTGAGATTCTCAATAGCAATGTTGTGATCAAAGAGACTGGTTTTAGATTATTTATTATGAATGATTTTGGAAATATTTTTTATATAAAAATAAATACTAACTAGAAATGTTATAGTTGCACACTTCTGATCTGTCCATTATGACACTTCATTCTTGATTATTATTTTTTTAAATAAACACACTTTCTTTATTGCTGAACTACTGAATAATCTGTATTTGAGTATATGGCATATTATGATTACGCTGATTCCCTAAAAAAAATCAAAGCACAGTTAAAATGATTTATTTGTCTGTAGTGTCTAATAGGTGTCTTTTTTTGTGGTCATGTTACCTGGTACAGTGGAATTCAATATCAAGAAAAGCTGTGAAAGCCAAAAGTATAACTGAGTTAAAAAAGGAATAAGGTAAATTCATGAAGAATAGGTCTATCCATGTCGATCAGCCAAGAAAGTCAGGGATGCAACCTTATGCTTTGGGTATATCTAAAATCTTTGACTACCAGAAACTGAGACTGGAAGACAGGTTGCTCAATAAATTGTCCTGCTTTGTTCCCTCTGAAGCATCTGGCACCAGCCACTGTTGGAAGACAGGATGCTAGATAGATGGACAACTGGTCTGATCCACTGATCTTATATTCCTATGGTGCATTCCAGAGAAGACAAGGGTGATCAAAAAGTAAAAATGGATATAGTATCCAGATCCTTATCTCCTGTAAATCACCTATAGCTCCATTGAGTTTGATGGTCCTAAAATAATTTATACCAGATGAAGATTTCGCCCAGGACTTGGAACATCATATAAAAGCTGCAATATAAGGAATGAGAAATTAAAATAAAATTTCTGATTTTTCAAAACTCTAAAGCTGGAACCTGCTTCTTAATCTAAATTACTATTAGTAGCTTAGCTAGTCAAAATAAAGATGTGAGTTGCTCATCGTCTGCACTAAATACTGAAATTTCCTGTATCCATCTACCTTATCTCAGCTAACCACTTGATTCTACCGAAAATATTTCTCTTCATATTTGGGAGTGAAAAATAAATAGTCTGCATTTTAAAAAGTCCTAAGAGCAACAATGTCATGAAGGCTAAGTAACAATTTAAATCTCAAAATGGGAAAAGAAAATGCTAGCTTACCACTTTTAGTGTGTGTGCACCGAGGTTGTACCTTTTAGGGCTGAACCTGCATTCTGAGTTCCTTCATGCTGCCCTTTATGCCATTGGGTGGGAAACATGGAGCCAGCCAATCCTCAGTTCCTTGCCTATGGCTGTGGGCCAGAATTGAGAGCAGTGGCTTTGCCTCTTACATAGTTGCAGTAAAACTGATATTTTTGTAAATAGTTACAATTTAGTGTAGATGAATAGTTGAGTTAGTCAGGACAGTTTTTGTTGGTGTCCATTCCAGGTGGGTTTTGTAATGATTACAAATGTAAATCAGGTGAGCAAAAATTACAAGTATTCAAGTATTGCCCTTCATGCTAGGTGAATGCACCTCAGTGATGATAGATACATGTGCCTGTTTAGTTTGACAAATGTTCCATTTATCAATTCTCTTCTGAAAATCCAAAAGAGGAGGGAAGCTGGTTTAAAGCTTTCTCTACTAGGCAAATTGATGTATGTATGGTACCTGGCTCTATTGGGCACCATAGTGCTTGCACCAGGCTAGGAAATCATCCTTACTGGCCCCCTAGATCTTCTTCCTCATTAGGGTCCATCAGAGCCCAACAACAACAGCCAGCCCCAAATCAGCAACTGCTGATCCTCAACTATTATTTGTATTACCAGAGCAGCTAATTGCTTGGCTCTAATTAAATAAATCAGCCACCTGTATTGCTCCCACAGCCATTTTGTGATCTTCACCTGATGAAGCTGTGTGCCCGGTCTACGAAAATCACACCCTGATAACAAGGTCTTTCTAGAGTAGACTTTCTTTGTTGAATGGCAGAAACCTGAGGATTTCAACCAAGGTACTACAGGAGAAATCCCAAGAACTATTTCACATCTTGAACACCTCTATGCTAGCCAGACTGGCTATGCCAGTAAATGGAACTACTGGAACCCATGCAGTTCTGATAGACACCTGCATCTATTCCTCCAACATCTAAAAAAATGCAAAGAAATAGGTGCCATCTCTGTTGTTTGAGTACTTTTAAACTCATCCCACACTTAAATCTCTTGTTCATTGTTCAGGAGAGAACTAAACAACAAAGCAAGCTTGGGTGACTCCTTGTGCTGGCAATCACACTCCTAGGTCAAAGTATAAGCATACTCTACCTTTGATCCAAGGCAGGACAGTGCAGATGCCAAAAGACAACACACGGTGTTCTAAGTATCCGGCTAGACCGCGGGGGGTTTTCCACCACGTCCAGGAAACGTGTTTGCTCTTCCACTTTTTTTGGCAGAAGAGCAAACACGCTCTTTCAGCAGCCTGTTCCATGAGGAAGAAGGGAGCTTTCAAAAGCATTTTTTTCTGAAATTTGGCCCAGTCTAAATGGACCAAATTTTGGAAAAGACACTTCTGACAAAAGTATTGGAAAAAGATAGATCTTCACAGTCTAGCCATACCTTAAGTGAACAGAAAAGGAGAAACAATCAGGCAGCAATCTGCTTCTGGCATTGGTACATCTATTACAAGCCTGATAGCAGTGCCCCTACCAGATTACAGAATAGTAACAGAAGGAAGTTTTCATAAGCTCATAAATGGACTCTAAAAACTTTTCAGAGTTTTTTCAAAGGTGTGGTCAGTCTCATGATGTCTTATCTGCCACAGAAATAAACAAAAATTATTCTACTTTGTGCTCCAGGGGAGACGTGAGTCCAGAATCTCTGTTGCATTCATCACTGCTTGACCTCCCTCCTCACCTCATTTGATGTATGCAAAATTAACCAGGAACTTAGTAGGAAGGCCCAAGCAGCTAATTTTTTTTCGTGTCAAGGGCCTTTATTAATTTTGGAAGCAGCTTTCTATTCTGTGTTTCTGGAGCTAGCATGGGGCCTAGTGGTTCACAGGAGAGATGTAAAATATGTGTTAATTGAATAGTCGAGTAACCTCATGAAATTTTATCGCTTAGTCGACTATTCTATAGTCCCTGAGGGCGGGACCAGCAGCCACTGTATCAGAGGCAGCAGCATGGGGTGCCAGGTGGGAGCTGGGCCCCGAGGGGGGCCAGTTTAAAATCCAGCTCCTCTCACGGACTGTCTGCCTGTTGCCCTGTGCTGCTGCTTCTGAGAAAGAGGCAGCAGTGCCTGCTGGCCCCAGCACAAGCCACAACTGAGCTGGGCTACCTGCCCACCTGGCTCTTAGTACACTTTAAATGCAGAGCTGAAACGGGTAGTCCTAGACCCAGCGTGAGCCAGAACTGAGCCAGGCTACCTGCCCACCCAGCTCCTAATACGCTTTAAATGCAGTGTCACAGCAGGGGTAGGTCCCGGACCTCTCGCAAGCCAGGACGGAGTCAGGCTGCTGACCAGCCTGCTAAAAAATTTCGTGGCAGGGAGAGAGAGGAGCGGGAAATGTGTATCGTCTATAGCAGCATTTCCCAAACTATGGGGAAAAAATACCGGGCCTCAGCATAGCTGCTGGGAGGGGAGCAGAGCCAGGCAGGCTGGTAGGAGGTGTGGGGGGAAACCGGCTGCCGGGAAGCAGGGTTGGTGGCAGCAGGTCTGTTCCGTGGAGATCAGGGCAGGCGGGCGGCCAGCGGAAGCAGGTTTAGGGGTAGCAGGGCTGTCCCGTGGAGATCAGGGCATGAGGGCGGCCAGCGGAAGCAGATTTAGGGGTCGCAGGGCTGTCCAGCAGAGATATGGGCAGGCGGCGGAACCAAGGCTGGATAGAGAGAGGGGGAGCTGGCTGGTGGAGATCGGGAGGAGGACTGGAGAACCAGCCTCGGGAAGCAGGGCTGGATGGGGGCAGCGGGTTGTCCAGGGGACGGGGGAGGGGGCTGGACGGGTGAGATGAGGAGGAGGAGGACGGAAGAGCCAGCTGCCGGAAGCAGGGCTGAACGGAGGCAGCGGGGCTGGTGGGGGGTCGTCGGGAGAGCGGAGCTGACCAGGGGAGATTAGTGGGGGTAGGGGGGAACTGGCCGCTGGAAGCAGGGCTGGACGGCGGCAGCAGGGCTGGAGATCGGGAGGAGAAGGGGGGGGAAGCAGTACTGACCTGGGCACAGGAGTGAGACCCACCCCCAGGATTCCATTTTGCCCCCCACACACACATATACCCTCCCTTGAGTAGTTGTGAACTGCCTGGCTGGTAGACACACTCAGGCAGCCTGAGCACATCTACCAGACAGGCAGTTTGCAGCTAAGGATTGATATGCCTAATAATAAAAAAATTTACCTAATTAGAAAATACCGGACATTTTTATATGTCCGGTATTTTCTCAATTTGTTTTCCGGATAGAAGCCTCAAATACCAGACTGTCTGGTACAAAACTGGACACCTGGCAACCCTACCCCTCCTTGCACCCTCCCTCCTAGCCAGATAACCTACCCCCAATCTGCTCCTGCTCCCACTTCCTGGAGTGCCCATGCGGCGCCGGCTCCCCCAAGCCCTGGCCCAGGCTGGGCGGAGGATGCAGCCCGGTGAAACACTGAAAATTTATTCATTTTTAATTTTTTTTATATGCGTTTATTTCTGGGCTGCAAAAGACAGTACTGAAAAAAACCAGGTTCCAACTAAGGTAAAAAGTTTGGGAAACCCTGAGCTAGCCAGCTTTCTATCCATCCTACAGTCCATTTATCCAATTCATATTCCCTTATCCTGCTGGCAAGAATATTGTGGGTGTCTGTATCAAAAGCTTTGCTAACGCTGGCACTGGGGGCTGTGGGAGGACCAGAGACAACTTAGTTGAATATTCATCATTTGCTTAATGAATATGCAAATGAATGTATTTACTGGTTGGATGGATTTACTGGTCTTTGTGTCAAAAAGTTTGGGAACCCCTGCTCTGTAGCATTAACCTATATGCTTTTGCTTATCAGTTAATTGGTTAATCGACTATACTATTACATCCCTAGTTCATAGTGCTATGGCAGTACATATAGCACTATAGGTATGTGTAGCACTTTCCAGACATAACCCACCACAAGACACCTGGTAAAATACTGACCTCACCAATGTCCATGGCAACACTAACCCTAATTTCAGTGGGGTCAGGTTTTCACCCATTGTCTCTGCCCCAACTGTCCTACAAACATAAGAGCTGTGTCTACACTGGCATGATTTTGCGCAAATACTTTTAACAGAAAAACTTTTCCGTTAAAAGTATTTGCGCAAGAGAGCGTCTACACTGGCACGGATGCTTTTGCACAAAAGCACATCTTTTGCGCAAAAGCACATGCCACTGTAGACGCTCTCTTGCGCAAGAAAGCTCCGATGGCCATTTTAGCCATCGGGCTTTCTGGCGCAAGAAATTAACGTTGCCTGTCTACACTGGCCGCGCGTATTTGCGCAAGAAGCACTGATTTCGGACATTAGAACGTCAGTGTTCTTGCGCAAATACGCGCGGCCAGTGTAGACAGGTGGTAAGATTTTGCACAAAAGCAACTGCCAAGGGCTTTTCCTCTCCTGTCCCTGTCTCCCCTGCTCTCTCCCTTGGTCATCTTCTCTTGACTCCTGCTGCCAGAGCCAGCCCTAGGGTGTGATGAATTGGGGCAACTGTTCAAGCCCTGCATTTTGGGGCAGTGCTACTCACAGCCCTCTCCAAACTTCCCCCTACATCTTCCAGTGTCTCCTGCCAATCACTGCCTTCCCCTTCCTGCTATCTGCCACAGCTCAGACCTGTGTCTGGAGGCACTGGGGAGAAGGAGAGAGGCACAAGGGTGCAGCATGCTCTAGAACAGAGC